CTGCCACGATGCCACTTGCCACCAGTTTGGCCATATTTCAGAGCTGCAACATCACTGGAGTGCCCAAAAGCACAAGGTGTGCAATACTCAGAGACATGGCCAAGGTAAGAAAGGCTGAAAGACGACCACCACTGAACAAGACACACAAGCTGAAACGTCAAGACTGGGCCAAGAAATATCTCAAGACTGATTTTTCTAAGGTTTTATGGACTGATGAAATGAGAGTGAGTCTTGATGGGCCAGATGGATGGGCCCGTGGCTGGATTGGTAAAGGGCAGAGAGCTCCAGTCCGACTCAGACGCCAGCAAGGTGGAGGTGGAGTACTGGTTTGGGCTGGTATCATCAAAGATGAGCTTGTGGGGCCTTTTCGGGTTGAGGATGGAGTCAAGCTCAACTCCCAGTCCTACTGCCAGTTCCTGGAAGACACCTTCTTCAAGCAGTGGTACAGGAAGAAGTCTGCATCCTTCAAGAAAAACATGATTTTCATGCAGGACAATGCTCCATCACACGCGTCCAAGTACTCCACAGCGTGGCTGGCAAGAAAGGGTATAAAAGAAGAAAATCTAATGACATGGCCTCCTTGTTCACCTGATCTGAACCCCATTGAGAACCTGTGGTCCATCATCAAATGTGAGATTTACAAGGAGGGAAAACAGTACACCTCTCTGAACAGTGTCTGGGAGGCTGTGGTTGCTGCTGCACGCAATGTTGATGGTGAACAGATCAAAACACTGACAGAATCCATGGATGGCAGGCTTTTGAGTGTCCTTACAAAGAAAGGTGGCTATATTGGTCACTGATTTGTTTTTGTTTTGTTTTTGAATGTCAGAAATGTATATTTGTGAATGTTGAGATGTTATATTGGTTTCACTGGTAATAATAAATAATTGAAATGGGTATATATTTGTTTTTTGTTAAGTTGCCTAATAATTATGCACAGTAATAGTCACCTGCACACACAGATATCCCCCTAACATAGCTAAAACTAAAAACAAACTAAAAACTACTTCCAAAAATATTCAGCTTTGATATTAATGAGTTTTTTGGGTTCATTGAGAACATGGTTGTTGTTCAATAATAAAATTAATCCTCAAAAATACAACTTGCCTAATAATTCTGCACTCCCTGTATAGAGACAGACAAACTGACAGACATACTGACACATACATACTGACATATGGACACAGACAAATACACTGACAGACATGCTGACACACACACAAACACATGCTGAGACATACTGACATACATTCACAGACACACAGACCTACTGACAGACATACTGGCACACACCCAGACATACTGACACACTGGCACACACATACATACTGGTGCACACACACACAGACCTACTGACAGACACACACAGACCTACTGACACACACTGACACACACACACACACACAGACCTACTGACAGAAACACACACAGACCTACTGAAACACACATAAACAGACCTACTGATAGACACACACACAGACCTACTGGCACACAGTGACACACACACACAGACCTACTGACAGACACACAGACATACTGACACACAGACCCACTGACAGACACACACACACAGACACACACACAGAACTACTGACAGACACACACACAGATATACTGACACACACATATGCAAACTTTACACTTTAAAGCCCCCCTCCAGTTTCCTACCTTCCCTGGGGTCCAGTGTGCCGGCTTAAGTGGTTGGGAGTTGGGGACTGGGTCTCTTTGCTCAGTCCCCCTCCTCAGTGCCTCCTGGCTCCCTCCCGCGCGACTCCTCTCCTCTGAGGGAGGAAGTGACCCCTGGACGTCACTTCCTCCCAGGCTGCCATTAAGCAAGGAGCCCAGTTGTGCTGCTAAAGGGCCACAGCACCGACCAGGCCCCTGCTGAAACATGCTCACCAGGTGGCTCTAAGTGTATTGGCCACCCGGTGAGCCCCCTTAGAGTACGGGCCCTGGTGCAGCCGCAATAGCAGCATCCACGGACCTATGGGTGGGGGTTTATGCAGGCTATGGGAAGCGAGGCCACGGGGCAGCTGCTTTGGGCCCCCCCAGGAGAAACTGGGCCCAGGGCAGCTGCCCCGTTTGCCCTGCGTTAAACACGGCCCTGGACTGGAGTACTCTAGATACTTCCCTTTGCTTCCTCTGATTTTCAGCTAATATGCCTTGGCACATGCACAATTTTTAAACCCATTATCTACCTAAGGCCCTGCTGCAGTTAAATGTGCCAGGGAAACCATTGTATGCAATAAACTGGGAGGAGGATTTACAATGTGCCCCACCCCCACTCCCACCCCCGATACATAGCTAGAAGCTACCTTACTAAGTTGTGCGTCATTTGCCAACACTGAGATTTGACTTTTGATGTTTATTGCTAGATAATTAATAAACATTTGATAGATAGGTGGACCCAGGACAGAACCTTGAGGTGCTAAATTTATTATTTTTGCCCAACTTTAAATTGTTCCTGTAACTACTACTCTCTGTACTTCACCTTTAATTACATTTTCAATTCAAGAAAAACTATTTTCATCAACATCAATTTTTCAATTTGTACAGTATAGAAATCTTTTGGAGGGACTGTGTCAAATGACTTCACAAAATTGAAGTAGATTACATTCACCTCAATGTACTGATCTATACTTCTAGCAAGGTTTTTTTTTTACTAAACTCCAAATATGTAGCATGTTACAACTGAAGTGGCATAATTAAGGTTAAAGTAGCATGATTATAAGAAAATCTCAAACTGTACTACAGTTTAGCTATTTCAGCCTACATTTAATTTTGCTACAATTTAGAGCCTTGTGAATAGATCTGACACAATGAAATTAAAGACACGCTATAAGCACCAAAACAATTTTAGCCTAATGAAGTGGTTTTGCTGTATAGATCATGTCTCTGCCATTTATGAGTTACATTACTTTTCTTTTGCACACCTCTCCTGCACACTTCCTGAAAATGAGTTGAATTTGTTTTGAGCTTCCTTACTGCATGGAGTGTTTTATTTAGAATTGATCTCCTACTCTGTTAAAAGGCTTGTGAGTGATTACATCTCAAGTAACAGAGCAAGAGGTAACAACTTCTAAAGTAAACACACTGTTTTGTAAGATCCAATTGGAATTAAAACCATTTTTTACCTGCAGGCTGTGTGAGGAGTAGCCTTTAAATAACGAACCAAAAATAAATATTATCCTCATAGTTGTTTAATCTCTGGGCTGAAATTTTGAGCCATTTTAAAAAATGACATCAAATACATCTGCTTTTCATAATCATTGGGATCATTTCTATAAAAGAATGTAGCAGTGGTTTGGCTACTACTATATTAAGCTCCCTAACTACTCACAAGTATATAATCTTCATCTGTTTGCTATGGGATTTTTGAAACTGTGTTTGCCAAAAGTTCTTCTTGTAATATACCGAAGAAAAAAACTATGTGATAATACTGCCTTTTCTTGATCATCCTTAATGTACAGTTCAGAAGGTCAAAAGCTTGATTTATACTCTGCTGTTTATTATATTTCCAGTTCGTATGCCTTCTTATGCTTTCAATATTTTATTAACCGTATAACATGTTATTAGATGACCATGAATTGCAGCTGGTTGTATTCAGCAATTAGACCCTCAATGTGTGCCTTGCATACCCTTCAGGGTCTCACTGTGTGCCTTATTTTGTCTACAGTTGGCTCACTGTGTGCATTGTATACTTATTTGGCATATGGCTGGTTCTTATCGAGTGGCCTGCATGTATTTTTTCCTGTCCTTATTCCCTTCCTCATAAACTCTTATTATACCCTGGGCCTAGCCTACCGATCTTAGGGATTTTTCCTATGCACATATGACGATTAGTGATGTCGCGAACATAAAATTTTTGGTTCGCGAACGGCGAACGCGAACTTCCGCAAAAGTTTGCGAAGGGGCGAACCACGGTGGGGGCCCTAAATACTAAAAGGGGGGGCCTAAGGTCCTCTCCCTGGCCCCCACCCCTGAGCGGCGGGTGGGGGCCCTAAATACTAAAAAAGGGGTGGGACCTAAGGTCCTCCCCCCTGGCCCCCACCCTTGAGCGGCGGGTGGGGGCCCTAAACACAAATTGGGGGGGACCTAATGTCCTCCCCCCCGGCCCCCACCACTGAGCGGCGGGTGGGGGCCCTAAACAAAAATAAGGGGGGGGACCTAATGTCCTCGCCCCTGGCCCCCACCCCTGAGCGGCGGGTGGGGGCCCTAAAAGAAATGTCCCCCCCAGGTGACTAGGGGTCCCCAAACCCCTAGTTACCCCCCCCAAAAAGTATCGCCCTACCTAACCCCCCTCACCATAAAAATAATGAGGGGGGACCTTTAAGTACCTGTAAAAAATAAATAAAACTTACCATTCAATTTGTGTTTAGGGGTGTTACCAAACCGCGCATTTGTTCGCCGTCCGCGGCAAAAGCGAACATGCGATGTTCGCCGGGAACTACAGTTCGGGACATCACTACTGACGATTGCATAATGTCAATGCTAATCTGCTGCCTTTATCCTAATGTAAACCTTAATAGTTTACCTGACACAGATTAACAATAGCATTTGTAATCTGTTGTTATAAATCACTGAAAGTTATATTTCTGTATACCCAAATTAGTACTCAATAAAAAAATATATGAGAAAAGTAGAAAAAAATATTGTAGAGTATGACCCTTTCTCTTTCTTAATGCCTTAGCAAAATTCAGTTAGATGATCCAAGCTGGAACATTTCCAGGCAAATCATGCCACTGCATGCAACCCCATGCCAAATTGTGCGTATTGCACTTGTACAGTACTAATTATTATTATTTTATTATTATTTTATTATTTATATAGCGCCAACAAATTCCGTAGCGCTGTACAATGATGAGCTTACATGCTAGAGGGAGTGGGGTATAGTGACACAAAGGGTTAAAGTAGGGGAATTACATAGTTTGTTAGAGAAGGGTTTATTGAGTGCTTGGTAGGTCATTTTTGACAGTTGGAAAGGAGTCATGGGGTGGGGGATGAGAAACCTGCTGACAGTTTAATTGATACGCTTTAATGAAGAAGTGAGTTTTCAAAGATTTTTTGAAGGAGTGGAGGCTGGGTGAAAGTCTGATTGAGGAGGGAAGGGAGTTCCACAGAATAGGTGCAGCCCTGGAGAAGTCTTGAAGGCGAGCATCAGAGGTGGGGATCCGGGCAGAGGATAGGCGTAGGTCTTGGGCTGAGCACAGGGGTCTCGACGGGACATACTTGTGTATGAGGGAGGATAGGTATGTTGGAGCAGCATTATGTAGGGATTTGAATTTTGAATTGGGCCCTATATCTAACTGGAAGCCAATGCAGGGACTGACAAAGCATGGAGGCGTGGGAGGTGCGACCGGACAGGAAAATAAGCCTTGCAGCCGCATTCATTATAGATTGCAGCGGTGCAAGCTGGGAACATGTAAGACCGGTGAGAAGGGGATTGCAGTAGTCAAGGTGAGAGAGAACAGCAGCATGAACCAGTACCTTAGCCGTGTCCGGCGTTAGATATGGGCAGATGTGCGCTATGTTCTTGAGTTGGAAGTGACAGGATTTAGCTATCGATTGGACATGGGGAGTAAAAGAGAGATCAGAATCAAAAAGAACCCCTAGGCAGCGAGCCTGCGAGGCAGAGGTGATAGTAGCGCCGTTGACTTGGATGGAGACAGACACAGGAGTAGCAGCACTTGAGGGAGGAAAAACTAGAAGTTCTGTTTTGGACAGGTTGAGTTTAAGGAAGTGAGCAACCATCCAGTTGGAAATAGTAGAGAGGCAGTCAGAAACATGAGTCAAGGTGGGCGGAGAGAGATCAGAGGAGGACAGGTAGATTTGCGTGTCATCTGCATATAAATGATATTGGAAGCCAAAGGAGCTGATGAGTTTACCAAGGGAGGCAGAATAGATAGAGAACAGTAGGGGGCCGAGGACAGAACTTTGGGGGACGCCGACAGAGAGGGGTTGGGGAGAAGAGGCAGAGCCAGATAAAGAAACACTGAAAGAGCGCTGGGAGAAGTAGGAGGAGCACCAGGAGAGAGAGCAGTATCCCGTAGACCAATGTTACGCAGAATGTGAAGAAGTTGTTAATGATCAACAGTGTCAAAGGTGGCAGAAAGATCAAGGAGGATTAGGATAGAGTATTGGCCGCGAGATTTAGCAGCAATTAAATCGTTGGATACTTTGGTCACAGCAGTTTCGACAGAGTGACCAGCGCGGAGAGTTGGATTTGAGAAAGTCTGTCAATCTGGCATACACAACTCTCTCGAGGATCTTGGAGGCAAATGGCAGTAGCGAGATAGGGCGGTAGTTGGATGCTAACTAATGCTTTGAACAGGTGCTACAATCATTGCTAACCTAAATGTTCTTGTCTTACTTAATTGCAATACTTGGTATATTAGTGAAAAACTCATATAATGTGAACCATATCTGGTTTATGCGTTTTTGTGTAGGTATATAACTGGCAACGGTTTCATCCTTGTGAACAAAAAACTGTTGTGGATATGCCAGGGCACTTGTGAAGTGGAGTCTGATTGCAACAAAACCCTCTGTAACTCCTATAATTACCCCAGTAGAAGTTTTGGTATCCTTTTAATTAGTCATATATCACAATATAGAATCTATTCAGCATGATGATTTATGTTGTATTATAATTTGCCTGAAGCCTGGGCACACAGCATCTTTAATGTTCCTGCAAAGCACCATGTAACCTGCTCTATGTTTCACAGGTGACCTTTGAGACAAAGAGCTTTTCATGTACTCTCTGGTGAAGTCAAACACAACGTCCTACTCCACACATCACTCAAGAATTTCAAGATTCTATTCATCTGGTGACTTAATTGATATTGAGATTAGAATATATAGTGGCTTCTTTGTTCCCACAATGACCACACAGTTTCAGAAGTGGCACCGAATGTTTGATTTTTCATGTTCTGCGGCTGATAACACACAAAGCAGAGCAATTTAATGCAGCCTATTTACTGAGTCAATTAGCAAACGATAACCTCCCATTGTGTAATCATCAATAAATCAATTGTGTTAATACTGTCTTGGAATGTTTTTCACTACGTACCTGAATATCATTGGCTGCAGACACGTTAGGTTAAAGAGAAAGGTTAAAAGTGAAGTAAATCAATTAATCTTTAAAGGGTGTTTTATGTTTTGAGAAGCATCTGAAATATATCTGAAGATTTTATTCAATTCTCAGAGCTACTTATCTTTTTTATATTTCTTGTTTTGATGTCCGTAAAGACTTACTACACCTTCAGATATAGTCTATAAATCTGTAGGTGACCGTGATGACCTATGATCTTTCATACCATCTTCAGCCTATGACACAATGTAGTGGAATCAATAATGGCACAGATAAAGTCTCAAAAATAGTAATGTTAATATAATATTTATTCATTTTCAAGATATCAAGAAAAGGTTATATACCACTACTATAACATGTATAATTATGGTGGTGGGGGCCAATTGGCCAAACAGTGAATTTGTGGTGGTGTGCAGCAAACCGACCTGGAGTGTTCTCCTGAAAGAAGTCTCATCTTGGAAAAATAGGATTGTTTAAAGATTAATGAAAAAGGTGACAATATAGTGTGGCATTAATATTTGACACTTTTCTAAGAGGCTAAAAGCTTACAACATTTACCTTCAACTATATTACCGGCTAATGACCCTATATATATGATGCATAAAGGTGAAGTGAGGAGGGTTGATGAGAAATTCCGGAGATGTTATAAACCACAAAAACAAAGGTCCCTTCAATGGTGGTTTATAATGTTGTGCCTGTGAATGACCGACACCATGTAGGACTTTAAAATATATTTTAAAAATAATAATAGAAAATAAAAGGAGGGATTGTACTTTAAAACATATATGCACTAAATCTTAGATGGATTTAAGATGTTGCCAATCTTTGATTAAAACCAATTGATGGAAATAAGGCAAGGCTTATTATTATTATAACTATTATTATTGTTATTATACACCTATTCAATGTACATCCAAATAAATCTATTCAATGGACATTGTTTTTACTTTTCTCAAAGGTGAAAAAACTTGGTAAACCGGCAAAAAAGAGTTGAGCTGATTTTTGGTGTGAAAAACCAGTAACTAAAGCAGAAAGACACTTCCCTTGAACAGTATGTCCTAATACAAGCAAATCCAATGCAACAAAGGCCAGATCTAAAAATGCCCAAATAAAATAGTTAAGCTATATAAAAGTGCACTTTCATCAATCAGTAGGGGTTTATAAAAATGTACTTTGTGGATTAACTTCCATTAGTTTACCAATAGGTGCAGTGTCCAATTAATACAATGTATAGAATGTTCTTGTACTGTACTGGTAGCATCGGTAAACAGTATCATCAAAAAGTCCTATAGCAGATCACAGAACCAGAAACTTAACAATTCATGCAGCTTGGTTGATATTTGGAAAGCAGCCATCATATTTAAAGATGCATCTGAACCCCGTAGGGACACATGACGGAAATTTCCCATCATGCTGGCCTTTTACTTCTGAAGCTGTGTCCTTATTGGGTTAAACAAATATAGTAAAATTCCTCATATCACAATACTGTTTTTCAAAATATACTGCACACATAATTTCTAATTCTCACAAGGTTGGTTATCCCTCTGTGGTGGTGTTGACCACAGAGGGATTCAAGTGGGAAGGGCACCAATATGGCAATGCCGCTCTATGCTCATGTCGTGATACAAATGCTGACACAATATAATAAATATATATATATATATATATATATATATAAATATATATATATATATATATATATATATATATATATATATACATATATATATTGAACAAAATATAATATTTTGTTCAATTGTAGTTGATTTTGATTTTGAGTGCACATTCTGATTTTGATCTTTTTAGAAGTTTATTATAATACAAAGGCTATTTTGTGCAACCCTACCTTTATTAACATTGATTCACTTGTTATAACTTATATTGTAGCAGTAACATGTTTTCATATGTTACATATTACACCAAACTGTATTGTTAGGGATTCATATTTTCCTGCCCCATTCACAGTAGTAATAGTATTTATAAATCACCAGTAAATTCCACAGCGCTGCACAATAGGTGTATTAACAGACAATTATTTGCAACAAGACAAATTGGACATACAGGAACAGTGTGGGTGCTGAGGCCCTGCTCAAACGAGCTTTCATTCTAGAAAACTTTTTAGCTGATTTTCTTGGACAACAAACCAGAAATTGGACATTTGGTCTGATTAAGTTTCACAACATTGAAGGGGATGTTAAAGTTCCAAGCAAAATTATTAAATAATTAAATAATATATTTAGCATCTAAAAGGGAACTTAAAACGTGACAGGTAGAACCATAGATTGTTTTAATTGTAGTTATTAAGCCACAGACGCCATTTTGGACTATGTCACGTTATATTAATATACTCATTAATACTCGTTAGATTCTCATTAAACTTTTTAAAGGCCTTTGGTTCAATAGAATATGCATTCAATATCCATCTTTTTACAGATAATGATTCCAGTTACTACATTTCTGAAAAGGTACCATATAAGTAAAAATAGAATCTGGTAAACTTTTTTTTTTTGTACATTTTCTATTTTGTGTTTCTTTTTCATACAAATAGTGAACCATTAAAAAATATAGAAACAATATATTTGATAACATATTACAAGTCCATGTTTATAACACTGTAAGCATTGCAAGCATCCTCTGTCATTGGTAAAATTTAAAAAAAAGACATTTAGAAATAGAATAGTTCAACATTTACATGAATTAGAGATTAAGCTTGCGCAGCAGGAGAGAGCTCAAACACATGTTACCACAAGGAAGTATAACAGAAGAAACTTTCTTCTTAAAACGCCAAAGCTAAGTCACATTGGAGAACTTGAAGTGCTACATATTTGTCTTCACCCTTACAGAACTAACTTTTTGACTAAAGAGGCTAAGCTAAAATTTCCATCTTGTTTTATAAAGAGTATAATGAGAATTTTGAATCTTCGAGGGGTAATCAGAATGAATACCATGACACTAAATGATTCTGGAATATTTAATGAATAAGGTAAATATAAAAGATTTCTTGTCACATGTGTGTGAAAATATTGAAGACTGAGTGTTACTACATTAGGTGAGAGGTCATAAAACTAAATGGGAAAGGAAAGCTCCAATATCATGGTCAAGGGCAAAATAGATGGAGAAAAGATGAGGTAAAATGGTGGAAATAAGATAATAGTAGAGGTGGAAAACAAACAATTCTGATACTGGCTAAGTTATATAGGGGGGAAATCTTCCTGTAATACTTCTATAAAATGTC